AATATTTATGAATTATGTATATAGGTTTAGGATTTCATCTTAATATTGTTTGATTTAGTTTTCTCTAATGTTAATTTAGATATTTCCTCATATTATCATATAAGCTGTAACAGTGTCTTACAATCAATTTTTTTATACATTATTTAAGGTATAATATAGGTTCAACATTTGTGATCATGTTTTTTTCCCTCTGCAATTTTTTACTTTAAGTTCCCAAACAATTTTGAATAATAGATACACATTTCTCCTTCCTATCTCAAAACTTTAAGTATCAACCTTTATTCTTTAATTTTTTAATATCATGATTTTCCCCCTTAAAATCTATGTTATAGACTTATTAAATAAATTAAATATTATTTCTAAGTAAGAAACAAAGAAAAAATAGTGATCTAGCAATTATAAATTAATAATGTTGAAATGAAAAAAATGAGCAAAATAAAAGTTTAGAATACTAATTTGTTTGACTCAGTAATTTTAATAGCAATCAAAACTCAAAAAACTATTTGCACAATTAAGAGAGTTCATAAATATATATTAATGACGAAAAACTTATTATAAATAAACGTAAATTGTATAATAAAAATATCAAAAAATTCTTTATTTATACTGGAATCAATAAACTTGGAATGAAATTAAGTTTAATATATTGACTGAGATAGATTGAGGACTATAGGATTAGTCAGATCTATTTCTCAATGGGGCGGGGAATTGGGATATAACTCACCTTGACGTGGTGTATTTTGAAAGTTGAAAAAAAAATCAAGTCATCAATAAAAAGAGAGGGATTCGAACCCTCTATACGATTAATGGAATGTCTATTCCTTTATTGAGTTAGCTAAATAAGATCAACAATTATTATTTTAAAAACTTATACATCTTCCTTTAACTTTTATTTTATAACTTAAACATAATTTTTAATATAATATTTATGCAATTTCTTTAAAAAATAATTTTATTCAGACGGTATACAAAGCGTGTATTCTAATATATCTCCCAAAGAATTAGGGCCTTTAAATCAACTAATATTTGGTCTGTTAAATATATTTTTTTATTCGAATTATGTAAGAATTTCTAACATTTAAAATTTTAAAAACAATAATTATACATTGATTTAAGTGTCCAACGGAACTACAACCAAGTAGCCATATTTTGTTCCTCTTTTAGTTTTTTTTGGTTAAAGTAAAAATTTTATTCAACCAAAATTGTATATTTACAGCCACTAGTCCCATTTGGACTCAAGAACTAGTCATCTCTATCTCTTTCTATCTAAGAGTGTTAACTTTTGTGTTGACATTCATAAGTTATCTACGCTTAGTAAGAAAACTATTTAAACTATCTAGTATCTTCTTCCATTTGCTAATAACTCTGTCCTCTAATGTGCAGTTGGAGGCTGATTTCTTTGATTCTCTGTTGACTCTCTCTCTTTTCATTTTGAAATCTTCTAGCATTCCTTTCACTCCATACATGGTAAATTGTTGCAGCAAACAGCCATGCCAGTACCTGGCCTTTAGCTCTGCTTCCTCTACACCTCTTTGCCATCCAGCATACCTCCTCATTCCATATTTTAGGGATTCTGTTTTCATTCATCCACTTCAATAAAGAACTCCAGATATCTCTTGCGTATTTACATTCAAAGAACAGATGAGCTAGTGATTTTGTAGTTCCCTTGGGGCATAATACACAATCTTTTGGAACATTTATTCCCCATCTCTCTAGTCTGTCCACAGTTGCAAGCCTTTGTCTTATGGCTAGCCATAGAATGAATTGATTTCTAGGGATCTGCCTTGCCTTCATGGTAAGATTTTTCCAGTGAACTTTTTGATATTGTGGCTGAAAGGACAAATAAGTTGTCTTGATGCTGAACTTATCACCCTTGCTGCACTTTCCCAGTTCCACCTTGTAGTTCCTGTTGTCAACCAATTTCTTGCATCAAATATTTTCCCCACAAGCCATCAAGCTTGTGTAGGTATTTTCATGAACTCTATCTCCTTGTTCTTTATGTAATAGCCATATATCCATTGCACCCATAGTGATTCCTTCCTTATAGATACTGCCCATAAGAGTTTGCATATGGCTGCTCTATTCCACAAAGTATAGTCTATCAACTTTAGACCCCCAGCCAATCTTGGCATACACAGTGATTCCCAAGAGACTAGAGCTTTCCTTGATGCTTCACAACTTCCGGTCCATAGAATGGTTCTGCATATACTTGTGATGAGTTGAATAACCTTCTTGGGTAAGACAAAAATCTGAGCCCAGTATGTTTGCATCTCAAAGAGAACACTTTTGATCAGCTACACCCTTCCACTCTAAGATAGAAATTTAGTAGTCCAGCATCTAATTCTTGCTAACATCTTCTCCACAATTGGCATACATTGTCGGACAGTAATCTTCTTAGAAGAAAGTGGAACCCCCAGGTATTTGAATGGCAGTTCTCCTGGTGCAAACTACATCTCATTCAAAATCTGTTGCTTCAGTTCTTGAGAAATTCCAGCAATGTACAGAGAACTCTTGTCCAAGTTTGCTTCCAGCCCAAACACATCAAAGAAATGATTAAAAGCTTGGATCATTTGTTGGATTGAAACTCTATCAACCCTGCAGCACATGAGTAAATCATCAACAAAACATATATGTACCAGCTCCATCTTACTGCATCTAGGGTGGTAATTGAAGTCCGGATTGTGTTGTAACTGTTTGAAGGATCTATTGAGGTACTCCATAATCAGCACAAATAGGTACGGAGACATGGAATCACCCTGTCTCAATCCCTTCCTTGCCACAAACTTTGGAGTAATCCCTCCATTTATCAATATAGCATAGCTTACAATAGTCACACATTCCATAATCCACCCAACAAATTTCCCAGGAAACCCAAACTCTAGCAGAATAGTTCTAAGAAAATCCCATTCAACTGAGTCATAGGCCTTTCTGATGTCAACTTTTACCATACACCTAGGAGAAACTCCCTTCTGCATATAACCTTTTACTAGCTCATGCGCAATGATTACATTATCAAGGATACTCCTTTCTGCTATAAATGCTGACTGTGAATGTCCAACAATTGTGTCTGCTACTAGTTTGAGTTTGTCAGTTAGAATTCTTGCTATCAACTTATACAAAGTTGTACAACAAGCTATGGGTTTGTACTCCTTCACATATGTGGGATTAGCTACCTTTGGTACTAGAGTGAGTGTGGTGCAGTTTGCTTTCTTTAACATTTTCCCAGTTTCAAAAAACTGGACAATAGCCTTACTCACCTCCTTTTCTATTACATACCAATATTCTTTGAAGAATTCTGCATTAAACCCATCCACCCCTAGGGCCTTGTCATTTGGTAGCTCTCTTAATGCCTGTAAAACATCCTCTTTTGTGACTGGTTGAATCAGTAGCAATTGTTGGTCTCTTTGTATACAAGGACCATCTTTAGCAATGTGAGTATCTACACAAGGTAGTTTTTGTGTTGTTTACCATCAAACCTTGATAAAACCCTATGAATTCCTGTTGCACCTGCTTTGGGTCAGTTAACTACATTCCATGTTTATTACAGATAGTAGCAATATTATTCCTAGCATGTCTTGCTTTGAGTTGAGCATGAAAAAACTTGGAATCTGAATCTCCCTGTTTGATCCATACAACTCTAGACTTTTGTTTAATGACTCTTTCCTAGATAATAGCCCATTTCTCCAGCTCCAGTAGCATTTCTTTCTCTTATGTGATCAATTGAGTACTATACAAATCAGTTGCCAATGCATCTTGTGTTTCTTTTAGTTTTGCCTGCAGAGCCTCCAACTTTAGATCTAGAATGTTCATCTCTTGATTCATCTATTTAACAGCTTGTTCTACTTGTTTTATTTTCCTGCATACTCCATACATAGCATAGCCATCAACTTGGGTCTTCCATATATCCTCTACCATTTCCTTGACTGATTGTTGTTTCAGCAAGACATTGAGTAATCTGAATGGTTTTGGCAACTTATGTCTAACAATAGTAGTAGTTAATAGTATAGGGGAGTGGTATGGGCAACCAAGATTTAAGTAACTACTTCTATACTGCTATACAAGTTAAACCATTGAGCATTTCCAAATGCCCAATCAATTAAACTGTAAATTCTGTCTCCAGGATCCCTTTTATTACACCAGAAATTCTGTCATCCCTTTCTTTTAAGTTGCCCTAGTCCCACTTCATCTATACAGTCCTGGAAGTCTTGTGTTTCATTCTATTGGACTGGTGCTCCATTGATCCTATCCGCAACAGATAATATTGTATTAAAATCTCCAAGGATGATCCAAGGGTCTAGCATCATATGGTTAATTACATTTAACTGCCTCCAAATTTCCTTCCTCCCTTCAATAGTGTTATAACCATAAACAAATATGACATAGCATTCAAATAAAGATCCTTTATCCTTCACTTTGCAATGAATAGTTTGAGGCCCTGAACTTTGTATATCAACCTCCAGCAACTGTGGTTTCCAGCATACCCAAATTCTACCATTTTGATAGCTTGTATAATCACTGTAAATCTGCCAATCTGCCCCTATTTTCTTTTTTATTTTCTCTGCTCTTCTAGCCTTCACCTTTGTTTCTAGACAACCCAATAGAGCCATTTTATTTGTAAGCAGAAAGGATTTAAACTCCTTCTACTTATAGGGCTTGTTCAGCCCTTTAATATTTTATGATCCAAAAGGGTTGTTTAGTTAGATTAGTTCCCCTTACCACATTGCTAGTGGTAACCTCTGTATGAATTCTCAATGCACTAAATTTATTCTTTCTGAGCATCAACTCCGATTCATCAATCTTTTGATTTTTGACTGTTGTAGCTGGCATTATTTTCTTTCCCTGTCTACTTGTTTATTCTGTTGTTGTCCATCCTCTTTGGTTAGTTTCTCATTCTGCTCATTGTGAGCAGTCTGTTCTATCTGTTGCTCCTTATTCTGATCTTCATTCATGGTAACAGTCTTGGCTATCCACTCCTTCTTCTTTGGTTTCTTTCTAATGTCCTATCTAGGCTCCTTGTGTTCTGCTGGCTTTGTGCAATCTCTTGTGTTATGCCCAACTTTCAAACAGTCCTGATAGAATAGTGGCTTCCACTCATACTCAATATTCTGTGAGTAATGTGTTCCATCAGGTAACTCAAGAGAGATCGACTCTGGTAGAGGTTGAGATATGTCTATTTCTATCAGTATTCTAGCATATGCAATCCTTTGCTCTTGAGCTGTTAATTTGTCTATGCAAATAGGCTTCCCTATACAACTAGTTATTCTCTCCAAATTACCAGGAGCCCAAAATTGGATTAGTAGATTTGGGAACATCACCCATATCGGAATAAGTTGGGTAGGTTCCTTATTCATTTGGAACTCTGGATCCCACTGCTTTAGGATAAATGGTCTATAGTTGAAAGTATAAGGCCCTTGCTTAAGAATTGCTTCCTTGTCCTCCTCATTATTAAATTTAAAAATGAAATACCCATTGTTATGAAGGAAAACCTGCGGTGTACTAACATAATTCCATACTCTATAAATAAATTTGAGCATTTCTTTGAAAGTAGGATTTCCAACAATTACATTCCCAATTAAAGCTCGACTCCATTTCTGGTTTTGCTCAGCTATTTCCTGGGGGTTTAGCTTTACTATTTTAATTACATCCTTCATCACCGGTGGGTAGTAATTTAGCTTAAGCCCCATGTTTTGCTCTCTATTACCTTTGACGACTTCAGCCATCGTAGGCTTAGTTCCACTAGATATTGCAGAGAATGCCAGTTTCCTCGATGCGTTCATAGTCCTGCATCAATTTTCGGCGGGGTCTCTGCAGTTTTCGGTGGAGGTCCTACTTGCAACACTGTGGGAGCACTCCCCATTCTTGTAAACCAGTGACCAAATTGAATCGGTGCTAAGACATGGGGTACACCCGACTTTGATATTATTTGCCTAGTTTCTAGTACCGGTACCAGAGCTGATTGCTTCTTCTTCCTCGTCATCTCCCTTTGGGCACACGTTAGTAAACCTAACGTAACATGCGCCTTCAGAGCGTTAAAACCGTTTCTTTATTTTTAAACCCTAACGTTCTTTTAGTGTTGATAAAGTTGGAAGGAACGAACTCTATATACCTAGGTTACAATTTTCTTTTTATTACCATATACAATATAGACTTATAAATATTAAACAAAAAAATTAAGAACAAGATTCAACCCGAGAAAAAAATTAGAACTTGTTTTAAACTTTTAATCTCTTTTGTTATAAAAAGTAGCTTTAATTTATGTCCAACATAAATATTTATTTTAAAATCTTGAATATTAAATCAAATTTATTAATTATTCTTCATGGAAATGAAAAACTGATTATACTTATAATCTATGGTCATAATACATATTATTTACTAAACCTTCATCTAAATTAAAAAAATCAATCTTTAAATATGTAATTCTCTAATATATATATCATGTATTTTTTATGTCGAATGAGTTTTTAATCTTTTAAACTCTTTTGTTATAAAAAGTTAGCTTCATTTTTCTACATAATTTGGTTTGACTCGATGATAAATCAACGGTCAAAAAGTTACCATTAATTTTGAAAGCTTCATTAGGAGCGCACTAGATCACCTTTTCAAAAAATCTTAATTATTATTTAATTTTTCAAGTTTTTAACATATTAAGAAAAATAATAACTATTTAATAATATGATTGGATGAAGATCTAGAAGATTTGTTTAAAGAACAGCTACAAGATAAACAATTAGGTAAAATATTTATATCGGTGACTAGAGTTTTATGAATATTTGCATTATTTAATAGATTAGAATTTCAAGAAATATATATTTGCGGATATAACTCGCATAATCAATCAGGTAAATTATTTATATCCAGTTGTAAGATTTATAATATTTTGATGAAATAACCATTATATACAATTTTGATGTAATATAAATACTTATTGCCTGATTGGCCAAGCTTCTTTCTGGCCAAAAGCTTTTTTTTTTTTTGGACTAAATTTTTTTTTGTTTGCCAAATTTTTTTTTCTCTAAAGTTAAGGTATTACACTAAGATTTTAGAAGTAAAAAAGTTCTTTTGAGTATAATTAAAAGAAATTTTGAGAAGCAGAAAAAAGTAGCTTCTCCCTAAAAGTATTTTCTCGAAAAATACCTTTGAGAATGTAACGACCCGGCCGGTTGTTTTGAGAATTTAAGCTACGTTTAGCTACATAAGGTCTTGAGAAGCTTCATATTACGTTTATTGACTTGAGTGCATGGTTGAATTCAGTTACCGGATGATGTAGAGTCAAATTGGAAGAATGAATCTAGTTTTGGAAGCTTAAGCGGTGAGAATTTGATCGGAATTGAACTTTTGAGTAAACGGCTCCAGAATGGATTTCGGGTGATTTCAACAGCTTCATATTGTGATTTGGGTCTTAAGCGTGCGTCTGGATTCAGATTTGGAGGTCCGTAGGGGAAATTAAGGCGTTTCGATGAAAGTTGGAAAAGTTGAAGTTTAGAAAATGGAGAAGTTTGACCCATAGTTGACTTTTGCGATATCGGGATCGGAATGCGATTCCGAGAGTTGGAAAATCTCTGTTATGTCATCTTGGACTTGTCTGCAAAATTTGGCGTCATTCCGAGTTGAATTGATTGGTTTCGGCACGAGTTTTCAAAGTTGGAAGATTTGGAAGTTCATAGTTCGATTCTTGGCACGATGTGTATTTCCGGCATTGTTTGATATGATTTGGGACCTCGAGTGAGTCCGTTTTAGGTTATAAAGCTTGTTTGTGTGTTTAGACGGGGTCCCGGGGGCCTCGAGCGTGATTCAGACGAGTTTCAGATGTTTTGCATAGTTTTAAGCATGTCAGATTTCTGGTGTTTTCACACCTGCGACCTTGGAGCACAGGTGCGGCTCCGCTTCTGCATGAGCCTAATCGCATTTGTGATTTTTGAGGCCTGGAAGCTAGCTCTCTTCTGCGAGTGCTGGAACGCAGGTGCGTAACCACTTTTGCGGTTGATGCATCGCATCTCTGAAGGAGCCCCGATTCTTCGCTCCTATCATCACTTCTGCGGCGCCGCTGATGCGGCTAATCCTCCACAGATGCGGAAGTCTTGGCAGAATCAGATAATTCGAGAGTTGGCTATTTTCTTCAAATTTTGAGTTTTAAACTTCGAAAATGGGAGCTTCTTTTGGGGGGTTTCAAGCAAATCGATTGGGTAAGTGTTCTTCACCTAGAATCTAACATATCCCATGAATCTATCTTCATTTTATCTTTTAATTTGTGTTTTGTGTTGAGGGAAATGTGGGTTTTTGAAGAAAATTCCTAAAATAAAAATCATGATTTGAGGGATCAAATGGTGTCGGAATTCGATAACTTTTGTATGGTTGAACTAATATTGGGATGGGTATTCGGATTTTGTAAAATTTGTCGGGTTCCAACGTGCGGGCCCGGGGGTCGACTTTTGGACCGTTTTTTGGATTTTGTTAAAAGTTGAGATTTTATGATCCGGAATAGTTTCTTATGTATTTTGTTTGTGCTTTGAAGTTAATTTGGCTATATTTGAGCCGTCCGAAGGTCTTTTCACCGGAGAAGTGCATTTTTTGAGTATTAGTTTGTCATCTTTGAGGTAAGTATCTTGCCTAACCTTGTGTGGAGGAATTCCCTTTAGGATTTGAGTCTTCTGTGGTGATTGTAGTTCGTGTACGCGAGGTGACGAGTGCGTACTCGGACTTATTTGTGGGGAATTGGCCTTTTAGGGGTTTTAGGTTCTTATATTCACTATATATGGAGTTATTCTTGATATGACTGAGTTCCTACTTATTAGTTTCATCTCTACTTGCTTAATTGGAATTAATTATTTCATGATTCACTCTTATTGCCTAATTGTCATCTTATTTGATTTAACTAAAGAATTTTGTCTCTCTTATTGTCATGCTACCTTTTCGTAACTGCCTGTCTAATCTTGAATGAAGCTAAGATCACCTTTCCTCAATTGAATTATCGAACATTCTCGTAACTTCCCAAACTTAAAAGGAGTTTAGATAACCTATATCTTTGTTGACTTGCCTTTATTTGGAGCTACTGGACTCGGGTTGATTTCTTTGTTATTGACTTGTATATTGTGGGATCGTTACTACATGTTAGTTTTCCCTTTCGTTGAACTGTTCCCTTTATGCCTTTCATTTCCTTACTGTGGTTATTCCTTGTGAACTGGTTATACCGTTTCCTTGTGATTTAAAGTTTGAAGTGGATTCACTCACTGTATTTTGTATTACTGTCATTGCTGTAGTTGTGCTGGTTGCGTTGGTGCGCGAGGTTTCTACAGTGCTATTATTGATATATTGCACATGCGGCATGACACGGCGGGATATGTATATATGCTTATATGTGGATTGCGCATGTGGCGGGACAAGGTGGGAACATTATGATGCACGTGTGGCGAAATAAGGTGGGCACTTATTAAGTTATTATTTGCATATGTGGCGAGACAAGGTGGGCTGTGTCAGGGATTGATTGTGATGATTTGTGATGGCCTGGGGGCATTATTGTTGTTTGATATTGTGTTGTGGTACGCTTACATGTATGAGTTTTATCTCATGGAAGTTGTGAGAAAATATCTTACGTGTTGTCCATTATTTTTCTTATGCTTATTAGTTGGTAGGAATTTTGTTAGAGCACTTGCACAAGCATACACATAGTTGAACACTCCCTTTGGATATGAAGTTCTCTTGATATTACTGAGTATAGATGTACACCCTCATTTACTTGTCATATATGTGAGAGTAGCTCTAGTTAGCAAGTGAGTTGTCAGCGTGACCATGAGGTGTGATGGGGGCACAGGATGCCAAGTGTTAGGGTTCAGGTATTGGGACTTGTGAGCTATAAGTTTGTCCGAGGTTCGGTAATTCGTGGAGTTTGTTGGCTAAGAATTGATGGAACACTGTCATAGGTCCTGAGTTATTGCTTACCTTTACTGCATTTGTGATAGGATTTGGGTTTGTGATTTCGCTCGCTCTTCTATGTCATTATTATGGTATTTCAGCTGTTACTTGCTATTTTCTTTCCTTATTGTGATTGATGTATTGTTAGCCATATCGTGTAGTCTTTATATATACGTCATGTTCCGTTATTCCTATGCTTATATTTGTACAGTTTTATTAGACCGGCAGGTGTCTTGACCATTTCTCGTCACTACTTCACCGAGCTTAGTCTTGATACTTACTGGGTACCGCCGTGGTGTGCTCATGCTACTCTTCTGAACATTTTTGTTGTGAAGATTCCAGGTATCGATCGTTAGTAGCTGTGTGGATCATTGCTGAGGAGACTCAAGGTTAACCTGTTGCTGCATTCGCAGGCTTTGGAGTCACCTTCTTATTTGTATTCAACTGTTTTCACCCTTTTCCAAACAGTTTATATAGAAGTAGTAGTTAATTCTGTAGAGCTTATAACTTGTACTACCGGATTTTGGGAATATGTTCACTGTATAAAGGATTCATTCTAGAAGAATTTTATAATGTCATTGATTATTGTTGTTCTTCCGTAAATATTAGGCTTACCTAGTCCTTAAGACTAGGTGCCGTCACGAAACCCAACGGAGGGGAAATTGGGTCGTGATAAGCTGGTATTAGAGCTCTAGGTTCATAGGTGCTACGAGTCAAAAGCGAGTTTAGTAGTGTCTTGCGAATCGGTACAGAGACGTCTCTACTTATCTTCGAGAGGCTACAAAACTATTAGGACAATCTCACTTCTTTCATTCCTATCGTGCGAGCTTATTGATCTCGGTGTTTGAACTATTATCATTCCATT